GTATTGTTTTTATGCAGCAGCCCTCCTTTCTCCATCCATGTTTAATGGGTTAAAAAAGCAACTTGTAGGATTTTGGAAGAGAAGACCTAATATGCTTTTTTTTAAAAAAAAAAAGGAAAAAATGCTTCCCCCCCCCCCAATTCACTTTGTGTACTAGCTGATAGAAAGTCAGGGTGCACATTTATGTAATCTCTGCATGAATTTGCAGACAGGTTGAATTCTAGCATGGCAGAAGTGACTGAGAGGACAGTTCTTATAGTGTCTTAGATTGGGCTTTTTCACATATTATGGGAGAACTGCCATAATTATATCAACATACTCTATAATAAGATGAAGTCCATCCTGCTTTCCCTAGGAATGTACTTGTATGATGCATACACTTCTAAACAATTCAGCTTTTCCAGTTACACCTTTCTGCTTTTTGATATATGCTTAAAACAGTTGTTGGTGTTGTTGTTCAATTTATATGCCACTCCACTAGCCATAGGCTCTCTGAGTGGCTTACAACATATTAAAATTCAACTATCTAAGCAATACAAGCACAATATAACATTCAGTACAAAACCCAATAATAATAATAATAATAATAATAATAATAATAATAATAGTAGTAGTAGTAGTAGTAGTAGTAGTAGTAGTATCAGTAAATAAAACCAAAGCAGGATGAAAACCAAAATAGGAAAAATAGAATTAATAAATACTAAATACTGTAGTGACAGATTTTATTTTCCTGGGCTCCAAGATCACCGCAGACGGGGACTGCAGCCAAGAAATTAAGAGACGCTTGCTCCTGGGGAGGAAAGCCATGGCAAATCTAGACAACATACTAAAAAGCAGAGACATCACCCTGCCAACAAAAGTGCATATAGTCAAGGCTATGGTTTTCCCAGTTGCAATGTATGGCTGTGAAAGCTGGACCGTAAGGAAGGCTGAGCGCCAAAGGATTGAGGCCTTTGAATTGTGGTGCCGGAGGAGACTCCTGCTAGTCCCTTGGACCAGAAGGCGATCAAACCGGTCAGTCCTAGAGGAGATCAACCCTGACTGCTATTTAGAAGGCCAGATCCTGAAGATGAAACTCAAATACTTTGGCCACCTAATGAGAAGGAAGGACTCCCTGGAGAAGAGCCTAATGCTGGGAACAATAGATGGCAAAAGAAGGGGACGGCAGAGGATGAGGTGGCTAGATGGAGTCACTGAAGCAGTTGGTATGAGCTTAAGTGGACTCCGGGAGATGGTGGAGGACAGGAAGGCCTGGAGGAATGTGGTCCATGGGGTTGCGATGGGTCAGACACGACTTCGTGACTAACAACAACAAATACTGTAGACATATATAAAACCCCCAAAATAAAACACAAACCATTAAAATTAGAAATAAATATCCCTCCTTTAAAACCACCAGCATAAAATAACATTAATACCTAAAACTTCACCTGTCAAAATAACTGCTATACAGATAAGTCTTTAATTGGTACCTAAAAACCCAAATAGTTCGTGCTAACCAGACCTCAAGCAGGTTTGAATTCCAAAGTTGGGGTGCCCTCCTCCTCGTATCTTAATTTGTTTTCTGTATGGATTGGTAATCAGTTTTACAGAACTGTAGCAGTTTCAAGTGATTCTTGTTTCTGCTTAGGGGTTGTGCTAGCTTGAATCTAGTGTCTGCTGCAGGAGAGAAATCACTGGCACTCCTGCTTTCTTGCCATTACTTCTGATGGTGCTACTATCTGGAATAGTACAGAGGAAACAAATAGCTTTTGCTTGTGTATATTGCTGGAACAGCAATTTATCATACACAATATTTTTGCTATCTCTCCAAACATATCTATTGAATGCCTTGAATGCCAAAGTGGAGCATGTACATGAGTGTTCTGAAAGGAACAAGGTAGTAACAGAAAGCCACATATTTTTATATATTTTAGCATTGGGGTGGCAATGAATCATCATGCTTAGGTCTTGAGGGCCTTCTCTGGTCCAATTGTTTTTCCCATGGGAAAGGATTAGTTAGACTGTGGATCATACTGTATACATTTGGGAAATCACTAGTGATCTAGGTGCCAGGACTGTACCACCATATCTTATATGATTCTGAGTTCAATTCTTTCTTCTAACTAAGGCAGATGGAGTTCCCAGACTGGTTTTGAGATCTTTTGCTACTCATATTTGACAGCACAATACAGTTTTGTGCCTCTACTTGCGGACTGACCTTAAAACATTTTAGCTTTGTCAGCACAGGGGAGTTAGCCTTCAATCCAATGCACAGTTTTCCCCCATTCAAAGAAATCTGTTAGCAAGATTGTGCCTATTATGTAAAGCAATATGCTTTCCCTTCTGGTTAATTTTAAATCTGGGGTTCCTACAGTTCTCAGAATTGTAGTTGTTCATTTCTGTTCTGCATTGGAATGGTACAAAGAGTTTGGCATCAGCAAGCTGTACTCATCTTGAAGCACTCAACTTTGGTACATGCCCAAGACCTTTGCTCTATTTCTTTGCGTAGATAGATATCAGAACTGATTCAAGGGCAGGATTTGTCAGTTGTATTTATCTGCCTTGCATAATCACTCTTCTGCATGCACTCTCTTAACCCTTTTTGGTTTGATTATGAGTAATCTTTAGTCTACAAGTTTCTGCTTAGTCACTGTGCATAAGCATACAGTGCTTTCTTAACCCAAGTATTTTATTTATGCCAAGTTCATAATTTCCTTCATTGTTATTCAGAAAAAAACCTATGTTCAGGGCTTTTCAAAATTTTGCCACGTCACCCCTAGACAGTAATTTAATTATCTGATTATTGTAGTTTGGGATTTCACATTCATGCAGTCTGCTAGCAGATGCTGAAAACTGGAATGCTGAAATTTGTGGACCTTGATCAGATCTATCATGGTGTTGCTTGAACTTTACTGAGGAAAGTGATGCCATGCATAGTGGGTTTGTAAAAGTGCCATGTTTGTTCACTGACTTGCATTTCTATTGAATTGAAGCTGTTTTGCTTTGCTTAACTATGGAAGTTCTGAAATGAGCTTCTTGATTAGAATGGGAAAAAAACTCTGAGGTTTTTCTGAATTCCTTCAGAAGCTTGATTGCTTTTGTTACAGAACAGTTAATTCTGGAACAAGACTTCAAAACAAGTTCTACATAAGCTTGAGCACTATGAAGTTCCTTCAGGCTAAAAAGAAGCTTATGTAATGAGTACTGTTGTAGTGGGTGAAGAGGCATTTTTATCACATGGGTTACTAATACCTTTTGTTGATTAAATGTGGTTACAACATTGATGGATTGATCTTGGGATTGGCTTTGCTGGAGGCTGGCACACACTTTGTACAGCGTATACAGACAATGCTAGAGAGTCTTGGAGGGCAGTGACTTTCCCAGAGTGCTTTCAGTCTTCTCCAGGCTCTTTTTAGTTTCCCAATCCCAATTAAATGGGAGAGAGTTAAATTCTACAGCGTCTTGGTGCTTTTCTCATCTGAAAGTGGGAGATTGCTTTAGAGCAGTGGTTTTCAACCACCATTCTGTGGAAGATTTCCTCCCAGTTGTGGGGGGACACATCCCACTTGTTGCAGACCTGTGCGGGGACAGGCTGTGCTCCACCACCTCTTTCTTGGTTGGCATTGTGTTCACAGGGGGTGAGGTGCTGCTGCTGGAGGGGGGGCAGGAATGGGAGAGATAGCTTGGTGGGAACCACACTGCACCGATTTCGGTATGTTGTTCTTTTCTTGATATTTTTGTTGCTCAGTTTCTGGTGGTTTTGTTGAAATTTTTTTTTGGTATTGTCTTGAAAACTAATACACAGGATACTGTATCATGTGTATGGTGCCTCACCCATTCCTGAGGTGGTTTTCTTGTTTCCGCTGGTCCCCAGCTGTCGAAAGGTTGAATACCACTGCTCTAGACGACTCTGCTGTGGCTTGGTCAGAAGGCTCTTTGAGCATTTCCCCATTTAAAATAGCAGAGCATGGCTCTCATTAACTTTGGCTATGCTAGCATTGACCCTGTTGGTACAGATGGAACCCAGGGAATGAGGGAGGGGACCAATAAGAGCAGCAGCTACTAGTAATGGGGGAAAAAACTCCTTTGAAGTTGATATTGACATTTGGAGGAAAACTCCTGTTTCCACATATTAAACAGGTTTAGAAAAGTGTACATAATTTGATTGATTTAACTTCAGATAATGGCTTGAACCTGTGTGGGCCATCAGAGATTCAGCATTACCAACAGAACTTACACACACTAGGGTCTTGAGTGAAATTTATTTGTAATTTTACCTGCTAGTTATCAAAGATCAGGTATCTATGAAGTAACCCAAAAATTGCTGCAATGGTAGACAATATTAATTGAGTTTTGGATCACGGTTAATTTACTACCAGACCTATATATATTAGTTCAATATTTTCAACACTTGTAACTTGGCTGCATAGTAAAAGTGATTAACAAAAAGTATGTTTGTAAAAAATTGATATGTCATGCAGTCTACCATAGTTGTGGAATTTAAGGCTTCAAGATGCAAATATACAAGCTTGCCACTAGGATGTATGAACATGAAAAAGGATTGGAGACATTCATGAAAGATTGATGTATCAGATAGTCATGATCTTAAATAGAACCTTTCAGGTAGTATGTATCTGACTGTTAAATGCTAGAACATAGGATTGAAAAATAATAATTGACTGTGTGCTTTTTAGGGCCTCTAGTTGACTGCTTCTGGTGACTATAAAGGCTTGACTAGATTAATCTTCAGTCAAGCAAGGAAGTTTGGACAATATGGTATTATTGTACCACAAGGGAATGCCAAATGACTCCAAATTGATGTAGAGAACACGAGAAGGGAGGTTGTATCAAAGGTGCTACAGCACTGAATTACTCAATAATCATGATAATGATGGTAACAATTTATATTAAAAACTAAATTGCAAAGGAACCCTCTTACAGTTTGCTATGAATTCTCACAGTGTCATGTTACATTAAAGTATGCAGGTGATAACTATTCATATTTTGGTTTCTTACAGCACCCTGGTGGTGAAGAGGTACTACGGGAACAAGCAGGTGGAGATGCTACAGAAAGTTTTGAAGATGTTGGCCATTCCACAGATGCTAGAAATTTGTCAGACACTTTCATTGTGGGAGAACTTCATCCAGTGAGTATACTGTTCATGGACAGAACTCTCACCTGATACCTGTTTTGCATTGATTATAGCTGCAAAACAGTATGACCAGCCTTCATCAATGTGGGTCCCTCCAGATATATCAGAATGCTAATCCTGTTAGCCCCAGCAAGCATGTCCTGTGGTCAGAAATGCTAAGAGGTATAGTCTAAAGCATTGGCTGAAATATATGAATCATGTTTTGCTATCAAGGTTGAATAGTCTTAGTTCATGGAGAATTGGAGCAAGTTATTGGTATGTTTTCCTTTCAGTTGAGCTTTGTGTTTTAAGGTCAGGTTTACCAGTACTGATCTTCAGTATTGGCCTATATTTTATGTTTTACATGTAAGCTTGTTTCCATTTTCATTAGAGTGTACAGAACTTGGAACAAAAGTATAGTTTAAAAGCCAAGGTTGTGTATTAAAAAGTGTACATGCATGCACACACATGCTCTACTCTGTGGCATTTATTCTCAGGATGGTAAATATGTTTACTTGAATTGTGTGTGTGTATGTAAAGGTTATATTTCTTTGTGTTTGGCAGCAGAACAGACTTATCCAGGTTTGTTTACTTACTTGATTCTGGGGAGGAACAGGGTAATTGACACACATTATACAGGTAACATCATTTGGCTATTTCTGTCAAGCAAATCTGGATGGTACTTCTGTACTCTTCACTCTTAATCACATTCAGTTTTTGAACTCATAGCTAATATTTTTAAGTGTGAAGCCTTTCAAGCTTTTACTTTTTTCTTTCTTTGTAAGCTGTTATTTTTTACAAATAGCAATTCCCCCATGTTTGCCATGGGTAAATGGAAGGGTTAAATCTAATGCTGTGCTAGCAGATGTCTGCTAGTGTATTCAAAGTTCTCCTTCTTTCCTTCCACCTGTTCCCTTCCATACCACCCAAAAATCTGCTCTGGAGGGTTTCCCATCTCTTCTCAGAGGAATGCAAGGGGAAGGAGAATCATCCCCCTCCCATTTCTGCTCCTGGCAGCAGAACACCCCAGCTGGTGGATACGACCCTGTTTTTCCCATTAGGTGCTATGTGACTTTCTGGGTTGCGGCATGCATCTGAATTGTATACAGAATCAGAAAGCTTCTAAGTGACAGATCCAATCCTCCAGTGATTTTGCTGGCACATGCAGATAATTTAAAGAAAGAGGGTAAGAAGTCAGCTCTTTCTTTGTGCTAAGCTTTTCTTGATTCATAGTCTTTAATGATAGCTAAGTTCAAGGTAATGGCATTGAATTCTACCAGTTCTTTTCTCAGAAAACTCAATAAAACTCTTCTAAAAGCTGTGTGGTGTACTGATGCTGCCACTCTGTAATGACTTCATGTTCAGGATTGTGTCATTATGAGCTGGATCCCTTTGTGCACTTGTTTGTCTAAAACATAAGCTAGTATGTTTGATATTTCTCAAAGTGGTAAATCTGGAAATGTGGCCAAATTTAGCTTATGGCAAAAAAGCAGTTGCTTACTCTGCATTTGCTGTAAATAGTCCCTCTTAACTACTTAGCCTATTTTTTCTGAAAGACAACCATGGAATGTGCTTTGTTGTTGTCTAGTTTATTGTTGTGTTCTTCATGGTCTTGGTAACAGCATTAGGATAAAATTGCAAAGTACAATTTATGCTTTCCAAAGGAACCAAACAGGTCCTCCTGCTTTATAATGTTCCCATATATAAAAGGAATTAAAGCTTTGCCAATACAGTGTTGGCAGAAAACAAGATGTGATAACAACTTATTAGCCAACATACTCTTTCTCCATGATTTTGTACTTGTTGGTTCTTTTAAAAGACTTCCCTTCAAACTGTTTTGCTGTTGCTATGAAAAGTGCTTTGCTGGAGGATTAGCTAATTGTTTACATATTTTCAGGAAGTGTTTAATCATGCTAGTATTTATCTTTTGTTGAATTAACATGTACAGTAGACTCTCGACTATCTGGCTTACGACTATCTGGCCTCCGTACTATCTGGCCTAGTTAAAAAATAACTATCAATGAACAGTAAAATAAGTTTAAATAATTTTTGTAAGAATTAAGCCTATGCTTTACGTTAATGTTTTGTTTATTTTAAAAGTGTATGTATTCATACTGTACAGTGTACATGATTTTATGTTTCCTGCAATTAAGTTAGACATTATAAAATTTATCTTAAAATGTGTACAATATTTTTATCCTTGGACTTCCTTTTTCTGTAATAAATTTTTAAAATGTACAGTACAGTACATAACAAACATTTATAAAGTACTGGCCTGTACTAAGAGGTCAGAAAATATGAATAAGAGTGGGTTTTGGTATAAAAAGGGTGTTTTTAATGGTATGGGTAGGGTAGGAAGTGGGCATTTATAGAACTCTGGCCTATCCGGCTTTTTTGTTATCTGGCCTGCCCTTCTGCCACATTAGGCCGGATAGTTGGGAGTAGAATCTATTAGGATAAAGAAATATTTTGAAAATTATCAGGGAACATTACACAAAAATTAACCAGGTGGGATGCCATGTAAAATGTACGTGGCTTGTAATGTCCTTTACTGGCCATCATTACCACATACAATAGAGGTAAATTGTAGGTTAATCAACCTAAGATTTGCCACGGCATGTCAGGAAAATTCCACAGTCATTTTGAATACTCAACCACCAGTTCATGCCTTGCTATGTGATACCTGATTGTGGATGCTATAGGTTAATTGTGGGTTGAATAGCCAGTGGTTAATAGTGGATTATTTTACCCAAAATTAACTTTAGCTTCTGAGTTCAGTCTTAAAAAGGTAAAGGTAAAGGTTTCCCCTTGACCATGGGTCCTCAAACTACGGCCTGAGGGATGGATCCGGCCTGCTGTGGCCTTGCATCCAGCCTACGCTGCCATTTCCCACGCACGCGTTTGGTCTCTAAGCAAGCCACCACTGCCACCTGCCTCCCGTTCATGCGTGCTCGCCCTGCCTGGCAGGGAGGTGGTGGCTCGCTTGCTCAGAGATGGTTTTGGACTCGCTGGGAGATTTCCGAGTGAGCGAGCCACCACCGCGCCTGCCTGATGCCGCCTCGAGCACGCCCGACAGCACCTCACTGGCCTGCGCCCCCAGGCACCCCCCACCTCACCTGCCCACAATGGTCACTGCAGCCTTTCAACTGGCCCCCTATTCAAAAAATTTGAGGACCCCGCCCTTGACGTTAAGTCCAGTCATGTCTGACTCTTGGGAGCAGTGCTTATCTCCGTTTCCTAGCCGAGGGAGCCAGCGTTTGTCCGCAGACAGTCTCCGTGGTCATGTGGCCGGCATGACTAAACACCGAAGTGCAGAGAACACTATTACCTTCCCATGAAAGTGGTACCTTTTTATCTACTTGCATTTGCATACTTTCGAACTGCCAGGTTGGCAGGAACTGGGATGGAGCAACTTGTGCAGTTTTGAACAGGCGACCTTTTGATCAACTAGCACAACAGTTTAAACCTCTGCACCACCTGCATCCCGAGTTAAGTCATAGCAGCCCTCAATTGGCCTATTTGTGTGTTGAATACTCAAGAAGGCTATGAAATGCGCCCAACATGCACCATAGGAAATCTCGGGTTAATGCCTCACTGCATTTTCCTTGTATTAACCTATAGGTATGGTGAACAATATCCTAGTGACATGAAATGGTAACTTTGTTAACTTCAGTCATTCTGCATAGTTTGATTATTGCTTTTTTGTATCTTTCAGGATGATATTGAAAAAATTCAGAAACCGACGGTAAGCATTTCATTTTAATATGTTAAATTTGTTCTATCACAGTGACATTGTCTCTAATAGGTTCTTGCATTGGAGCATGCTTGAAAAACAGTTCAGAGATAACTGGGAACTGCATGGTGAACAGTTGTACAAGATAGTAGACATCATCTATTACCTAGAACCTATGAGTGCAGCTCTGCACTGTTGAAAGGACTCCACTTTATTTGACATATAACAGGACTGCAGTTTTGATTAACCTTTCTGTTACTGGAAGTCACTGCAACTGCAGTGTTGACTACTCCTGGACTGGCTTGGATTGTTAATGTAACAACATTAGGAAAACAATAAAAATCACAACACAGACTTTTCAGGTGCATCTGGATATATCAATTATCTTAGAGATGGCTTTGGCTGAAGTAGTGGAAGGAGAAAATGGACCTGAAGAACAGATGCTAGTGCTGTGTCAAAACTTGTTCAACAGTTTATTCAGGGCTGTGCCAACTACATTTTGCAGCAGTTCTTATGCTTCTCATTGTGCAAATGTTTGTTTGTACTGCCTTACACAAATAGAGGAACATAGTTTTATCCTTCTTAAGCAATGCTGTAGTGTGAAGTGTATACAAGCCTGTTAGTGAGCAGAAGGCATCTTCTTATGCTGAAAGGGACCTCTGATCCAGCTATAGAATGAAAAATGAAGTGTAAACTGACATGTTAAATTTATGAAAGCATGGTGTTTTATTTGAAAACATTGATACTGTAATACTTGCCAAACTGAGTAATAGCTAGAAGTATTACAAAAAAAAAGTATTACAAAAAGTCTCTGTTAAATAATTCCAGTTCTCTATTGGCTAAACTTTCCTCTGCATTTGCAGTACTTTTGTCAAATGTTAACTATTAACTGGAGAAAGAACTTGGTGTCATGAACCATGTTACCTACTGAAACTACCAACTGAAGTCAGTTTGTATTCGCACATTTTTGGATAAATGTGTAGGCTTCGAAGCTGTAAATTAGTTGAACTTAGCCTGAAATAGTGTCAGGTTGAATCTCTCCAGATATGCTTAAGTTGCAATAGACTTTCTTTTCAAAAGCATAGTTTTTAGAATATGTTTCCCTGTAAAAGAAACAAGCAGAGTTTAAGATGTTCCAAATCATTCAGCTACCTTTTTTGTGTGTTAAGGACAGTTCTCCCGCTTGCCCTAATAAGCCAGCTCTCACTTCATAGCTGTTGCATGTGACAGGCTGACATGACCTTGCGCATCCTCCCTTGCTATGTTTAATTTCACTGCAGCCCAGATTTTGGTACATTTTCTTATGTAGCTTGTGGATTTTATTGTTTGGTGCACGTATTCTGTAAAAGCAACTTCTTCCTATCTTTGGCTGTTCAGTATAATGGAAAAATGCAGTTACATATGCCTCCTAAGAGATTATTTGCAAGAAGTGGACAATGGCGTACTGGCACATAGTCGTTCCCAAGTATAGTCTCCAGATTGCTGTGAAGAGCATGCCTTTAATGTAGACCGAGGAAGTTGCCTTGCAAAATCAGATCCCAGTCTGTTCAACTCTGGGCTATCCACACTGAGTGCCAGGATACCTCCAAGCTGCTAGCCACTAAAGCCTCAGGCACATCCTTTTAATTGGAGATGCCGAGAATGTAATTGCAGTTGCCAGGTCCTTCTTCATGCAGAGCATGTTTTCTTTGCCTGAGCTGTGGAAATGAAGAGACAACTAAAAGCCAACTTTATAGGCAAGTCTGCACCAGAATAGAGGTGTCCCTCGATATGGTTGAGTGGCACAAATGCTGTGTGTCCCAGAATATGGAGGTTCTCATGTTGTACTAAGGCCTGTTTAAAATAACCTAGTTTTTCAGTGTTACCACTGAAAAGCACTTGAATCCAGTTTCAAGTGCCGCAGGGCAATTATTAGAAGAGAGCATTGTATTGTCTTCTCATTGTAAGCACACTTGTCTGTTGATATGTTTAACATTATCATTTAGCAGTATTTTTTATTTGAATTTTGAATTTTCAAAACCAAGAGATGATTTCATGCTTGTTATGAACCAAGCAGAGTACAGTGTGATTGTCTTCCAATTTTATACATGAAAATCCTATGAAGGCAATTCCCATAAATACAGTTTGGTGTAATTAATAGTGCAGAGGCTGGGATCCCTTTGACATCCTTAAAGTTTACCCATGGGAGTAGTTTGCATTCTGTCCCTGACAGCTTGTTTTCTACTTTAACCCCTTCATATTTCACTAAGCTACAGTTTCCTGCTAAGAAAACCTTGCTGGAAGTCAGCGAATGCATAATAAAGTGCTGTACTAGCAGTTAAGCAGTGATAGTTAATTATAAGCTAAAATGAATGAGAGGTAAGAGGCTGCAGTATATCTGAGTTAACTTGAAAAACCACAAGTGAAAACAGCATATTACCTATTGCATAAGTTAGTTTTGCTGCAGGATGGACAGGTAGCCAATGTCACTTAAAGGCTGTAACTAATTTATAGCTTTGTTTTTCAGCCCCCTTACATTACCACTGCTGAATCTCAATCCAGGTATAGTATGGATTTCATTTTACTTGAAAATATTTATTATTTATTATTTATTTATTAAAACATTATTATGCTGCCCCATTCACCAAAGCCTTGGGGCGGCTTACAACAATAAATTAAAATAATTATAATCTTAAATTAAAAATATAAACATTAGATTAAAAATACAAAAATACAATATAAAATAAGCCGCCCTGGCCAGATAAAATCCAATAATATTAACAGTTAAAATGCCGCTTAAATAAAAAGGTCTTCACCTGGTGCCGAAAAACAAATAACGACGGTGCCAGGCGGACCTCTCTGGGTAGTAAATATTGTGCTAGTTTATTTTAAAAAGTTCAAATATTACTTAATTTTTCTGTTGCCTTTCCCAACATGAATTCTGTAGGTACTACAGATTAGTGGTAGTGGAAATAGGGTGACTTTAATACATGTGTAGAATTTATTAAAATCACTTTCTATCAAAATAGCCTTTTTAGTTGGATATAAAGGTGGTTCTCTTGTTCGTGCTATGTATGCAAGCTAATGGTTCCTATACGATCTGACATACGATCTGATCTCAATTAAATTCATTGAGATCAGGATAGTCTATTACCCTGATACCATTCTCTGTATCATCTTCAAGTAAGTGATGGTATCATCATTGTACTCCCAAGAAGCTTTCTTGTACTTCTGCTTCAGGAATTGAAAGATTGGGGTGAGGAAGTGATTCTGGATGATTCCTGCATTTTTCTCTGCAGTCCCCAACACTATGTTGATCTAGGGGATCTCCTGTCTCTCTGGAGTAGATTTCCAGGACACGAGGTTGTAGGCTAGTGAAGAAGAAGAAACACCGTTGCCTTCCACCCTTCTTCAAGAGGGAGCATCTGTTGGAACAGAGTTCATGAACAAAATATCATGTCCGGATCCAACCCCAGTCCACTGTGCCTTACCAAAACATTCCAATGTCCAGAATTCCAGTCCATTTCCACTCTGGGAAAGATCTTGGGCACATTCCATCTGTGAGCACAGTCAAAATGTGATCTTTGCTGATATTAAGCCAACTGAGAAATGAGCAGTGCAGGAGCAAGCATGAGTGAATTGCTCAGTAGCTTCCTACTCAGGCCCCATCCCCTCTCTCCTGCAATGAGGTTATTGCCAACAAGCAGCTGACCGGAGATTAGTATACTTCCTTGCTGAGCAATGAGAAGGCAAGCTTTTTTCAGTGCTCAGCAAGGAAAACAATTAGGAAAGTGTGCTGCCAGTCTCCTTGCCCATGAAAACACTGAGGGGAATGAAGAAAGGGGGAACACAAGAACCGAAAGGGGGGGGGGAGTTTTTTTAATGAGTAGCTTTTGATTGGCAAAGACTTTAGGCTGGATTAAAGAGTTCTCCTGGCCAAAGTTTTCCTGTCCTTGTACAAAAGCATTCCACTCACACTTTTATGTAAGAATACTCTTCTCTGATTGCATTTGCTTGTGGGAAAGAAGATTACTTTATGTTTGCACTTGCAGTGGTGTAGTAGTTCAGCAAATGATCTCTTCTTGCAAGTGAAAAGAGTAGACTCAGTAGAACTATGCCTCCTCCTCTTCACGCACCAAATCTTATTTGTCAGTAACCATATAGAGCAGGGGTGGGTAGCTTGTAAAGCAGAACATCTGGAGAACTGCAGGTCCCATCCTCCTTCACCACTGGATTTGTTGGCTATGGCTGATGAGAGTTATAGGCAAACAGTTTTAGAGGGCCAGAACTTGCCAGCGCCTATAGGACATTTACTATGTCTTCCCCTGTTTCATTATAAGAAGCTTTGCATGGCCTAATTGTGTTTGACTAGCAGTGCGGCAGTGACTTAGGTTATAATCTCCTGAAAAACAAGAAGCCTCACTAAAGTTCAGTTTTCAGAGGTCTGCTATTTAAAAACTAGTGGATGCTATATGTAAATAACTTTTTTATATTTTCTAGTTCATGGACCAACTGGGTGATTCCGGCGATAGCAGCACTTATTGTGGCCCTCATGTACCGTTTCTACATGTCTGAGTAAACGCCATATTAAGAAGTAGTAATGGAACATATTGTTTTGGGGAAGAGAACCAAAAATTCATCTCTAACTATCTTTACAAAAGGACAGTACCTGAAGCTTTTAAAATCCATCCTCTTTTTTCTGGAAAGCCAAACTAAATTTGCTTCAGGAACAGATTCTAATGCTGCCTTTTACTTAACTGTTTCTAACTGCTATAAAAGTGAAAAATTCATTAGCTAACCATGTGATACTGTCATGCTATTCTTGAAATGAAGAACACTGATGTTTATGTTTTGATATAACATAACTAACACTTGTCTAGTCATTTTTAAATCAATTCTTTGAAATTCCTTTGCCTGGACAACCATAGTTGTATCTATGCAAATTCCTCTCTCCTTTGGCTTGAGTTAGAATGGTCTCATACAGTTTTTTCCATCCATTTCTTAAGTATAATTGGTTCTTTTCTTCTTACAGATAAGTAGCAAGTTTTCAGTATGAGAATAAGAAACTTCAGGTGTAAAGTTTGTTCTGTAGAATAATGCCTGGGAATTGCCCATTGCTCTCATCAGTAGGACCTTCAAACTGACTCGAAGTGCTGGAGAAACAATTCAGTGCAGCTCCTAACAAAAAGAAATCCAGATTTTTACTTTCATTATCTATTTAAATGTCATAAGTCCAAAGAAGCATAGTGAGACTTCAGGACCTATATGTTTGTGCAACTATTGTCCTTCTGTTCCATCATGGATACCAGTGAGATACACTTTTCCTACAGAATACAGCAAGCAAAAATGTTTTCCAGTGTCTGTTTGTTGGATGTTAACTCTTGATTAAATAAGGGAAAAAATACAAAAAGATTGCTAAATAGCATCTACCTTACCTGTATGTATATTACTTGCTAATAACACTTGTATTAGTCATAGAAGAACTTATGGAATAAATTCAAATGTTTACTATATCTTTTTTCACCCTATGTGAGTGTTGTGGAGTCTATCCAGCATCAAATTCAGTTGATAACAAAGTAGTTCTGCTTTTTTAACATGGGAGAAGGGTTCTGGGAGCACATACCATGTGAGAAGACTACAAGCCAAAATGTGAAATAAATTCAACATGTAATTATAATAAAACTTCTAAACCACTGATTGGCTTGATCATATTCTATTGCAGAAGCAAAATTGGCAGCTCTTGGAGTGCTTTGAATGTATGATAATGCAATTATTGCTCTAGTTGAAAATGATCATACTGCTCAGTTGGTTAAAAGGATTGACTGGAAAAAGTACTGTATTACCATTTTAGGGCCAGGGAGGGTTATGCTTTGCATGTTATTTCTTATGGGATATATGGGTACATGTTTTCTTCTCTTTACCTAAGCCTAGTGCCTAAGCAATGCCTTGACATTGTTCAGAGTGCTAAGAAGACAAATGCTTGGTTTTCCTTCAATATGCAATAGACTAGTCCATGCTCAGTAAAACTGGTTATTTATTTTTTTGAAGTGTAAAGTTTTATCTCAGCAATTAAAGATGATAGTGTCATCATCTTAAAGTCATACATTTTCAGAATTTTCTTTTATTATTTATTCATTTGCAATTGTGGCTGTGAAATACCATAGCAGGATCTCAGTGTTTTCTTTTCCTGAGTTAATTTTTCCTGCCTAGATATGTCACAAAGTCAGTTTTAAACTATGTAGATTGGTAAGATTACCAAAGTAATATATAGTATGAAAATAGAGAAATCACCTGGTTCAGGTAGATTTCCATTTGAGTGGTTTATAAACGTTATCATTTATATAACTATTTTTGTATCAGGTTCTGTTTTATCAGCATGCTATGATGCATATATTATACTAATTTCTAAAGTAGATAAAGGTCATACCCTCTGTATTAAGGCACTGGCTTGCTCACAAGGAGATCCTTTTCTCTGAGCAAGTCCAAAACGGTCCCCCCCTTGCTCAGAGAAAAGGATCTCCCGGCGAGTCCAAAACAAACTCCTTGCGAGCAAGCTGGCACCTCCGTGGCGAGCTATGGCAGGCCGAATAAATGGGCATGGTGGGCCGGATCCAGTCCGCGGACTGTAGTTTGAGGACCCATGATCTACATAGAATAAGCCAACTGATATATTGCCACAGCATTTCTCAGAAGCTGCCTTAGTCCCATCTGAGCCAAGAACAGCAGCACCATAAATATCATCAACATCACACAATATTCACAGGCCACACTGGAAAACATAAGCTGTCCTTGAGCCAAATCTTTTGCATACAAATTGAATTAAAAAGAACCTAAAGACAATCTTGCTTCACTCTTTTGTGATAGGAAATTCTAGAAAAACTAGGATAATTGTTAATATTACAGTGGCATCATATGATCCTAGTACCTTTGGGTTTTGTTCTGAGGAAGAACACAAACTTCATTTTCTGCTGCTAACCTCCCCTCCCCCCACCACTGCCGCCCCAAAAGCCAAATTGTTCATTTGCTTTAATTGCATGTTAAGTGTGTACATAACAGGAGTGTGTCCTCTCTTACTTTAGGCTGCAAGCTAATTTAACTGTAAGCTATAAGCTAATTATTACATTGGCAATAATGGTGGTTCTATTTTAGAAATGTAAGAATAATGTTTATGATGGCAATAGGCTTTCTTTCTTTTTTGGTGGAGGGGAAGCTTTTTCCCCCTAGGGAATTCTCTAGGCAATTCAGAATATCATATTTTAGTCTGTTATTGAATATTATTCCGTGATATTTAGCAAAGTAGCAAGCATCATATGCTGTAGAATGACTTGATTTGCTGCCAATCTCTGATTAAGAGAGCCTAGAGAGATCAGTCAGGTTTCCTCTCCAGTCTTTGTGTTCATGCAGCAAGGGTATAATGATGTATAAAAGTGGACCCTGACAAATGCATATTGACTAAAATGAAAGGATCTTTTTCTTGGTGTGCTATATGGTTCAATCCTTATGCTTAGTAGAAGGAGATGATGATGGTAAATGACCTAATGTTACTGGTCAGGTGATGAAACATGTGTGAAATGATACTTTTAACAAGATTAAGGACTAATCTTGATTTTAGTATCCCAGAGTTGGTGTTAGCTGTTTACTTTTATAAACCATTTCATCAGGCAGCAGGCTGGCATTCTGAATTTTCTAAATCCTTCCCAATTAAGTTCAGACTTTATCTAAATATTTATATTATGCTGTGTTGGAACTGCTGCACATAAAACACAAAAGGAAAAACAGTCATAGATATAAAAGTTTGTCTACATGAAATGTTTATGAAAATATATATAATGTTTACAACAAAGACAAAGATAAAAGTGCTAAGAATCCTCGTGCAGTTTTAATTTGATAGTAATGAGAATTATTTGAATGTTCCTTCTTTCATTATTTAAAAACCATGTTCTTGTTGAAATGTCAACTGTAATTTGTTTTACTTTCATATGAGGATATAAGGATGGTATCTTCATAACAACTAGTTCTGCTCTGTAAATATATGATCACATTCCTAGATCTGCATGAGCAGCAGTCATTTCATCTAACATGCTGCATGAGAAACTTCTTTTGACTGCCAGGGATATTTAAGAGGCAAGATGCAATCTGTGACAAATAGATTTAAGGAATTAGATCTGATAGACAGAGTGCTTGAAGAACTATGGATGGAGGTTTGCAACATTGTACAAGAGGTAGCAACTAAAACAATCCCAAAGAAAAAGAAATGCAAGAAAGCAAAATGGCTGTCTGAGGAAGCTTTCCAAATAGCTGAGGAAAGAAGGGAAGGGAAAAGCAAGGGAGAAAGAGAAAAATGCACCCAATTGAATGCAGAATTCCAGAGACTAGCTGGAAGACATAAGAATGCCTTCTTAAATGAACAGTGCAAAGAAATAGAAGAAAACAATAGAATAGGGAGGACCAGAGATCTCTTCAAGAAAATTGGAGATATGAAGGGAACATTTCATGCAAAGATGGGCATGATAAAGGACCAAAATGGCAGGGACCTAACAGAGGCAGAAGAGATTAAGAAGAGGTGACAAGATTACACAGAGAACTATACAAGAAAGAGCTTATCATCCCTGATAACCACGATGGGTGGTCACTGACCTCGAGCCAGACATCCTGGAATGTGAAGTCAAATGGGTCTTAGGAAGTCTGAGCAACAAAAAATCTAGTGGAGGTGACAGTATTTCAGCTGAGCTATTCAAAATCTTAAAAGACGATGCAGTAAAAGTGCTACACTCAATACGCCAGCAAGCTTGGAAAACTCAACAATGACCACAGATTGGAAAAGGTCAGTTTACATTCCGATCCCAAAGAAGGGCAATGCCAAAGAATGTTCAAATTACTGCACCATTGCACTCATTTCACATGCTAGCAAAGTTATGCTCAGAATCCTTCAAGCTAGGCTCCAGCAGTATGTGGACTGAGAACTACCAGAAGTACAGGCAGGATTTCGAAGAGGGACAGGAACTAGAGATCAAATTGCCAACATATGCTGGATCATGGAGAAAGCTAGGGAGTTCCAGAAAAACAGCTACTTCTGCTTCACTGACTATGCTAAAGCCTTTGATTATGTGGATCACAACAAACTCTGGCAAGTTCTTAAAGAGATGGGAGTACCAGACCATCTTAATTAGTCTCTTGAGAAACCTATATGTGGGTGAAGAAGCAACAGTGAGAACTGGATGCGGAATCACTGATTGGTTCAAAATAGATAAAGGAGTTAGGCAAGGCTGTATACTGTCGCCCTGCCTATTTAACTTACATGCAGAGCACATCATGAGAAAGGCGGAGCTGGATGAATCACCAGTCGGAATTAAGATTGCTGGGAGAAATCAACAACCTCATATGCAGATGATACCACTATAATGGCGAAAGTGAAGAGGAACTAAAGAGCCTCTTGATGCAGGTGAAGGAGGAGAGCACAAAAGTTGGTTTAAAACTCAACATTAAGAAAACTAAGATCATGGCATCCGGTCCTCTCACTTTCTGGCAAATAGATGGGGAAGAAATGGAGGTACTGACAGATTTTATTTTCCTGGGCTCCAAGATCACCACAGACGGGGACTGCAGCCAAGAAATTAAGAGACGCTCCTGGGGAGGAAAGCTATGGCAAATCTAGACAACATACTGAAAAGCAGAGACATCACCCTGCCAACAAAAGTGCGTATAGTCAAGGCTATGGTTCTTCCAGTTGCAATGTATGGCTGTGAAAGTTGGACCTTAAGGAAAGCTGAGCGCCAAAGAATTGAGGCCTTTGAATTGTGGTGCTGGCGGAGACTCCTGCGAGTCCCTTGGACCGCAAGGCGATCAAACCGGTCAGTCCTAGAGGAGATCAACACTGACTGCTCTTTAGAAGGCCAGATCCTGAAGATGAAATTCAAATACTTTGGCCATCTAATGAGAAGGAAGGACTCCCTGGAGAAGAGTCTAATGCTGGGAACAATAGATGGCAAAAGAAGAAGGGGATGGCAGAGCTTGAGGTGGCTAGATGGAGTCACTGAAGCAGTTGGTGTGAGCTTAAGTGGACTCCGGGGGATGGTGGAGGACAGGAAGGCCTGGAGGACTGTTGTCCATGGGGTCGCGATGGGTCGGACATGACTGCGACTAACAACAACATGCAATCTGTACTCTGTGTATAGGAGAAACTCTGTGTATGATAATATATATATACATATACATATATATATATATATATAATGTGCATACATGAATGGACACACACATACAGTACATGTTTCAGAGGCTTTTTGGGTGTCCTGTATCTATCTATCAAGGATGTTTGTAGGAATACATTGCATCCTACCTCTGAAACATCCCTCTGTTTCAAATGTAGTTTGTAATATATATCACTTCAGATGATAGAGACAAGTCCTAGCACCCTTCATGCTGGTTATGAGATTCTACTGAAAGAGTGGTAGGACTATTTCTGTCTAAATATGCATAGAATTGTATCCTTTGTGACTTAAATCTTTGTATACGTAGGATAGGAAATGTGGAGAAAAGCAACCCTACTATTTGCATGTATTTTTGCATCCAAAGAGGTATAGTAGATAATTCAATTATTAAATTGTTAAGATATGTCTGTCTCTGTGTGCTGTCTGTCTATATGGCTGCATATAAACCTTTGACTATAACATATAATGTACTTTTAATGTTCTG